AGGGGAGTTTGATGAGGAGGATTGTAATCGAGAGGCGGGGATCTCTATTTACGAGGAGATTGGCGAGGTTGACGGCGGAGGAGAGGTGGCCGATGAGTGGTATTGGTATGAAAACTAGCTGTAGATCCATCTTGTTCTTCATTTGGTAATCTAAATTCTCAGTGAAGAGGGTAAGATAATATAGAGGATGTGATGAGTTTGCGGTGTGTTTGTGACTTTTGTGGCAGTTTGGTGTGGACTTTTCCTTCCAACATATTGCTGACCGCATCAACTTTTGGTTTGAATATTTTACCGTAAAATTGCAGAAATCAAACATTCGGTTTGGTTTCGTGGATTTTGTTGGTTTTCTTTCGGTAGCTGCTTCAGATTCAAACTTTTGAAATTTCGAATATGTTACTGTTAAAGATGAATAAATCATTCCTCAACCCAAAAGTTTTATGTGAATGTGTTGAATAAATTTAATTTATATATTAGATATCTCAACACTCAACCTCACTTGTAGAAATCATGATAAACGATGCACGGGTTCAAACACAAGACCTTCCCATCGTGATATCATGTTAAGAATGAATGAACCACCATCCAACCTAAAAACTTAAACTGAAGGGTTGGGTAAATTTAATTACGATTAAACTTACGAAGAGTACCAAAAAAATTTCATATGTCCAAGAAAAGAGAAGTATATAAGCAATGGATGATACTACATCATTATAGAAATTTGAATGATCTCTTATTTGGACTACTTCTCAACTTTTGATATCAAAGTCATAGTTTAAACCTAAAAAACTAGAGAGGTGAATTCGAATTGGGCATGGTGGAGGAAGAAAGGAGATGTGATTGAATTTGTCTTCATATTTTTTTTTAAATTATTTGGGCTAAGAGTTCTAGGAATCACTAATAGAGCATTTTGAAGGGCAGAAAGAAATTCACTATTAAGGATGAATGAATTACAAAGATTCTTCAAATCAATCACTTGAGCTTTTGATGGGTTACATATGTTACCCATTTATAATTACTATTCTGAATTGAATGTGAGAAAATTAATTTTAGGAAAACTTAAAATCACTCTAAATTGATTTTTAAAATATTACTGGGTGATTTTGAAAAATCAATTATACTTAAATTTCTTTTTTCAAAATCACTAATTCTACCACCATTTCCAAACATTCCCAAAAATTTTACATAGAGAAACTATCAGAATGGAGACAATGTGACAATTTATTTTAGGTCATTAGATGTATAAAAGAGAAATTATAAAATATATTTTGAATGAGTATACAATATTTTGAATATGCATTCACGATTGGTAGGGAGTAACACATGTTTAATTTTTCTCTGAAAATGGTCTAACAAGAATAACTAGCAAGAAGGATGAACTTGTCAATCTTTCATTAGAATGTTTTCAACGACTATTATAGAAAGGTGAAGGACGTACATTTTTTATTTTTAATGTGGGAAAGACTTACATACTAGTTTTGGAATAGTGTTTTTAGGTGTAGATTTATCTCACACGTCCAAAATTATTTCTTATAAAGATGGAGGGAGTAAAATTCATGGTAATTAGGGGTGCACAACGAAACCGACAAAACTGAAAAATCGAACTGAAACCGAGTTGAACTTTCGGCTTGACGGTTCGGTTCGATTGAGCAGAAAACAAAATCGAAAAAATCGGTTCGGTTTCAACTTTAATAAATAAAACCGATTAATAAACCAAACCAAACAGATTTCTATTATTTTATTTAATTTTATATATGTTATCACTAATTTAAAAAATAAATGAATAAAAATTTGTGAGTCGGTTTGTTTAATTACTTTTTTTTAATTAACTAACAAAATAAGAAAGAAAAAACAACCCATTAACAAATGGGAGATCCATAACCCATAAGTCCAGAAGCGCAGACCCACAAGTAGCATATTAGAACTCAAATCTTAGGAACCGAACTGAACCAATCGGTTCGACTCCATTCTAGATTTTTTCTTTTTTTTTTTTTTTTAAATCGATTATGGTTTTGGTTTGGCCCTCAAATTGGACTGTAAACACCCCTAATGTTAATGTCTAGATCACACAAAAGCTTAATGGTATGATCACTAGCTACTGAGTTTAAAGATTATTTTTTTTATTACCATATGAGCTAAAAATTTGGATCGAAATGAAATGAGACTTGGTTTCCAAAATAAGTTTTTCTAACTCTTTTGCTAACATCAACAAGCACGTAAAATTACATTATCTGAAATATGTTTCTCTCTCTCTCTCTCAAATGTCGGGATCACGCAACGGGAATAGTTGTCGAACTTTAAGTGAGAATTACGATAATTTTTTTTTTTGTCGGATTTCCTTTCAAAAAGTTACTATGATTTGAAATTCTTCTAATTGTCCTCTTTCTATTATGCAGATTATGTAGTATGATCATCGATCTTCTCTCTCCTCACCACCAAATCTTAACATAGAGTTTAGAATTTGAACGAGCTATGGAGGAAGGATTTTCACCCTTACACGTGGCATATGATAATTGAGACTGATAATTGGGTCTCAGACAAGTAACACACATGGCAATCGATAGAGCTTCAGTTTTATTACTTCAACACAGGTATATACTTGTGCGAGCCGAAGTCTTAGGTGGTCGAGCCGACCTAAATAATTAAGCAATTTGTTGTTACTTCGGCTATTCCATTAGTCTTACCTCGGTTCAGTCTCAGGCTCCGATAGAGTCCACGATAGCACACCGTGATTCACGGCAACCTTAAAGAGTCGTTGAAGCACTGTCGGGACAGTTGTCGGAGAAGTCGCCTATAAATAGGGTCCATTTTTTTCATTTCAAGGTACGCAATCCAATAAATTCTCTCTCGAGTTGACTTGTGCATTTGCTGACTTTAGCATCGAATTCTTTACTCTGTTTTGCAGGTCCCCTGTGCATCATCAGGATCTCATTGCTTAGCTCATCCTTGCCGATCCGAGGCTCAGAGACTTGGTCAATTTTTTTATCAAACAACAGTGAAAGTTAGGGAGAGAACAAATGAGAGGGAGCGTGGGGGAAAAAACGAGTGAGATTGAAGGAGAGAGCGAGAGCGAGGGAGAGAAGCGCAATAGTGAGAGAGTGAGGGATAAGAGCGAGAGCGAGACCCTATTTCAACAAGGTCAGGAACATAATTTCACGTACTTGCCGAAACTGGCAAAAAGGTTAGAAAAGTTATTTTGAAAACTAAATTTTATTGGGTTTTTGGGCTCAATAGCCCTTTTTACAAATCAATATTGTTTTTTACCTACTTTTTTCTAAAGTTATGTTTTCTAATATTTGCTTACATCATCCTAAATACAAAATTACTTTCACTACCCATCCACCCTTTTTTTTTAATTCTGTCTCTATCTCTCTTTTCTAAAATTTGTTTCCTTTCACTCTTTTTCCATAATTTTTCCTTCCAGCTGAGTTTCCCTCTCTCTCCTCTATCCTCTAAATTTTTATAATCAGAAACGCTTACACAAAATATCATATCCATTCGATTTCTGTTTCCAAGAATCATAAACGCATATACATAAGTTTTAAGAGCAGATTTCAAGATGAGCGCGGAGAAAATATAAGTTTTAAGAGCAGATCTGAAGAAGAGTACGGAGAAAGGATCGGTCTCGTTCTTGTTCTTAGTTTCGCTCTCACTCTTAGTCTCGCTCTCGATCTCGCTCCCACCCTAAAACAATCATGGATGGCAGTTTAAAAAGGAAAAATAAAATAGAAAAAGAATGGTCGACTGAAGAAGATGAGGAGAGAAAGAGATATAAAATTTAGGGGTTTGTTTTTTAATAAATAAGAGAGATAGTGAGTTTTTAGTTTTTTTAGTGAGTAAATAAGAGAGATTAAGAAAAAAGAAGAAGGGGCTGCCGAAGAAGATGAGGAGAGAGAGATATAAAATTTAGGATTTTTCAGATAGGGAAAGTGAGTTTTTAGTTTTTAAGTGAGTAAATAAGAGAGATAAGGCCCACCTCTCTCTAAAAATAGTTTTTTTCGTTTTTGTTTTTTTTTTTTTCTCTCTAAAAACCCTATGTTGCCTATTTTGTTTTAATTAATAACAAAAAATATTGATTATTTATTTTTAAATAAAGGCATTTTATTTAATAAAATTTGAAACTATTCACTGTATACATGTGTATAATGGTAGAATTCATAAAAATTAATTTAATCAACTAATGATTTAAAAGATTTACCTTTCATGGATAACTTTTGAAAAATTATTAATTTGACTAAATTAATCATATGGAGATTTAATAAATAAAAACAGAGTTGAAATATTTAAATGATTTATTTAGTCATCTTAAAAAATACTTTATTTAGTTATTGAAATATTTAATAATAATAAACAATTTTGGAATAGTTTTTCCTTGTTTCGATATAAACACTCTCTCTCTAAAAATAATTTCTTTTTAGTTTTTTTATTGAGTCCCTCTATCTTTTCCTTATACCAGACTCTCTCTCAAAATCTCATCTTTCTCTCTTCTTTATTTAGAATACACAATAAATACATACATGAAAAAACTTAAAACCTTCTTTCTCTCTCTTCTTTACTCATTAGAAAAACTCAAAACTCACTTTCTCTCTCTTCTTTATTCACTAACAATACCCTAAAACTTATATCTCTCTCTCCTCATCTTCCTCAGCCGCCCATTCTTCTTCTTTTTTTTCTTTTTTTCTTTTTTGCCATCTATGATTGTCCTCCTGTTGGATGGAGACCGAAAACGAGAAAGAGATCGAGAGCGAGAGTGAAAACGAGAGCGAGATCGAGAGCGAAACTGCAACTTTCTCGGCGCTCGTCTTCAAATCTACTCTTACAACTTCTATTTTCCCTACGCTTGTCTTCAAATGAGCAAGAGTGCACCGAGAGCGAGAGCGAGAGCGAGAATGGACCGAGAGCGAAAACGAGAACCGGAGCGAGAGTAAGAACAAAAAAGAGAGCGAGAGTAAGAACAAGAAAGAGGGCGAAAGTAAGAACGAGAGCGTACCTAGAGCAAGAGCGAGACAGATTAAAGCAAGAAGGAAATAGATCTGAGAGATTTGAACATAAAAAATTAAAAAATTAAAAAGAAAGAAAAAATGGAGGAAGTGGCTGCTGAAGATGGAAGATATGGAAGATAGATATGATAGATTCTAGGGTTTATGGGTGAATTAAGAAGAGAGAGAAAATGTGTGGCAAGGGGTGGCGGCGCTTGGAGATAGAGAAGAGAGATTTTAAAGATTTTAGGATTTTTAGAGTAAAGATGAGAGATAAAGTGTTTTATTTTGTGGCGATTAAAAGAAGAGAGATTAAGAAGACTGAAAAGGGGGCATGGATGGTCATTTGGCAATGGTCTGACATCAACGAACGATTAGAAAACATATATTTTAAAAAAAGTGATTAAAAAACAATATCACCTCATTAAAATGACTATTCAACCCAAAATCCCAATTTTATTTTGGCCCAAATTCTTAGATCAGTCCGTAAAAAAAAAAGTTAAGTCCACGAGGGATTGAGAAACTCATTTGATGTAGCTTTCTTTTGAGTCCTAAAGTTAGCATTTTATTTTTAGATGATGCACTATTTTAAAGTCTTTCAACTTCTTTCTTTTTTAGAACAAACTGTTAAGGACAACGGTACCCCAATTATCCCGAATATCTCCATAATGGTATGATATTGTCCATTTTAGGCATAGCTCTCATGACTTTGCTTTTGGTTTCACCCAAAATGTTTCATACCAATGGAGATAACTGTCATTCCTTATATATCATGGAGTGCACCTCTTTCCCTAACCAATGTTGGACTTTGTTTGCACTCCTTACAAACCCAACAACCCTCCTCTCGAACAAAGTGTCACTTGTATATTGCCTCGATTAGTCATGCAACTAATCTACTCCCGGATGGGAATGGGAGTCCGCTTCTATTCAGCACGTCTAGATTGAGCATTTGCTACACGGACCACATTGTGGGAACTCCCTCAATCTCCTCCCTCGAGCAAAGCTACACCATTCTTCCTACCAGTCTCCTCGACTATGATAGGCTTCCTATCAATATACCCCAACTTGATAGGGCATGTCTTGCTCGTCACCAGAGCACAGAGCATGTCTTTGCTCACCAGTTCGAGCAGTTTTTGTTCGATTCCAAGATCCATCTACAAGTTCCATAATGACTATTACGTTTACCAATCAGTCTTGTCCAGCCCCCGAAGATTCCTCCCACACAGCTAGGTCTTTTTTTATTTTTTTTTATTTTTACCGTAGCTCTGATACCACTTGATGGAAAATTAATAGCCATGTATATTTTCCCCTTCCACATAAATATTCATACATACACCACAATATGCAAATAAGAAAGAAACTGTAAAACACAATAATACAACACATCAAAATTATACTAGTTCACCACTAAGGGCTACGTCCAGTTCTTCCACTCAGATGTGAGTAATTTACTAATATTGTCAATGATTGAGTTACAATAACTCTCCTAAATATCCCGTAGAGGTCCCAACAGAAGTCCCCTACCTTCTAAGTATTATAAACCCAATAATACTTAGGTACAGGAATGAAAAATACTCATTAAATCCACGGAATACAGAAAAGCCTACAACCACTCAAGTCTCCTTTATTTGGATTTTGTACAAATGACATCCTAACCTCTTTTATTTCCTAAAATCAATTTTCTCTTTTGCCGAACATCATCAATGGAAACGAAAATAATCTTGAAATAATTTTGACAATGACAAAAGTGATTTTGACATCACTCCCAAATACACCCTAACTTATTTGCTCCATTCATCGTAGAAGGGGGAATAACTTTTGAAAAATTTTAAGAGTTTAGAAAGTTACTCATCTGGATTTTATGGGTTCCGAGGCTTGCAATTTTATTCTTTTTCAATTTCTATCAAATATCATCTTCCAATCCTCCCTTAGATGTCTATACGTAAGTTTTTTAACTTAAAAAAATAATAATAAATAATTTGTCATTCTTATTCATTATCCGACGTAAATTGTTTAATAGATGAATAATGTAGCTATTTCAATACATTAACATAGAAACATGAATATCTATTATAGTGTGTCCACATTGATAAAAAAAAATTATATTTTATTGTAATTAGGGTTTGATTTTATCCAACAAAAAGTATTTGTGCAACATACTTTTACAAAATAAGTTCTAATTAGGACTCCTATTTAGTTATTAAGACAAATTTCATCTAATACTCAGTTTAACCGCATCAACACTTTAATACATATATTCAAAGTCACATTATTATCATCAATTTGTTAATCAATCGACAGTAGACAACAAAACAAGACAAAAAAATGATTATACTTTTTCAAGTGTTCATGTGACATTGACATTGAAATAAAATATGGGGGAAGCAAAATAAATTTCTTCAAATTTGAAATATTAAATTATAAAGAGACTAAGTTTTTAAAAGATTCAAACTAATATATATTCTAATTTTAAAATAATTATTCAATCAACTACTCTTGCGTGTTTGAAAAGTTCAAATGTTCCATTTTTAATTCAAAAGATCACCATCATTTTTTGTTTGCTTACGCTTAGGTTGCTATTTTAAACAAAAGAAAAAATGAAGTCGAGAGTAGATAAAACCTATACTCATTTTGGTTTTTGAATTCGTCATCTTCGTGTCTGTACTTTCAACTTTGGGGTATTTAACACGTCCCTCAAGATTGTGATTCTTTTAACTTTGTCGATCTTGGTCGAATCTCATTTTTGGATCGATTGCTCGTTTGAGTGTTTTGGGTTCTAGAATACTCACAGTATAACTATGAATTGATTTTCTTCTATATCAAATGAACAATAGAGTAGAGGTATTTATAATCTTTTGCCCAACTGTATGAAAATAACAATAATTAGTTTTGATTTGATTAATTAATCTCAAACTTATAAAACTAGCAAAACTAAAAAATCGACTGGCTTAAACATTTTCATTTTATTCCATTTACCTTCAAAACATCCATCTTAATCCATATTTACTTTTAAAAAGTAACTATTTTGATCTCTTCATTCTCATTTTATCTTATTTTTTTCTATCATAATTTTAGTATAGCACTTAACTAACTTTTTTTTTTTTTGAAATGTAATAATAAATTTTTATTAAAGGGTTTCTATTGTGTATAAAATTTTGCAAATATAACCAAATTGATCAAGAACCCATCATTCAACCATTCATACCAAAATAAAACAATAAAAATTAACAAAAAAATTTAAAATACAGAAATTAAAATGAATATTTTGAAACTACGTGAATAAAAATAAACTAAAACGAAAATGCAAGATTAAAATAATATTTAAACCATATATTCCCAATGTACGCTTTGGTTTTTCTATACTAAGCTCCTCCATCTTCCATATTCAATCTTCCATCTTCAATCTTCCATCTCCAACGCCATTGAAGAAGAACACGAAACAAAAAATGGACATAAAACTCCAAAAGATGCAATTTCTTGGGGCCTTTGGCATTCTCCAAGAAGCCCACAAGATCATCTTCACATGGAGAAAAATCTTCTCTCAAATCACACTCTTCTTCATCTTCCCTCTCTCACTCTTCTTCTTGGCTTACCTCCACATTTTCAATCATATGATTCGAAATTTCCTCTTCCAGATAATTCTAACCAAAACCCAAAAGGATCCTCCCAAATTCATCAACCTCTCCGATCTCGTCATGTCCTACAAATGGGCCTATCTTTGGCTCTTCACGGTCGCATACAGCGGCTTCCTCTCCGTCGTCTCCATCCCCTCCACCGCCTCCGTGGCTTACGCTGTTGCCAGTATATATACCGGCAACGGCGAAGCTTCTTTCAAGGACAGCTTGAAAGCTGTGGCCAAGGTTTGGAAGCGAGTTCTGGTCACGTCTTTTTATACCTTAACATTCTCTCTCACTTATAGCTCAGTCGCGGCTCTCGTTCTTGTTACGATATCTTGGCTTTGTGCGCGATTCAAAGCTTCGATATTTATTGTGTATATGGTGATGTTTTTCGTTGGATCTTTGTATTTAGACACGATATGGATTTTGTCGAGGGTTGTTTCTGTGTTGGAGGAGACGTATGGGTTCAAAGCGCTGATGAAAAGCCAAAGGCTTTTAAGAGGTAAGATGGCGGCGGCGGCAGTGTTGTTGTTTTTTGTAAGTTCATGTTTGGTGTTGGTTCAATTTTTGTGCAATAAGGTGGCTGTGAATGGGGTCGTGGGTAAGGGTATTTTGGGGATTTTGTGTTTCGTGTTTCTTGTCCATGTTTTGTTGTTGAAAGTTGTCGTGCAGGTAGAGTTGTATTTCATTTGCAAATCGTATCATTGTGAGAATATCGACATGTCGTCAGATGTCTCAGGTTTAGTTGGTGTTTATGTGTCGTTAAAAACAAATGATGTTCAACTTGAGACAGAGAGGCTCTTAGTTTGAAATTTTATGAATAATACAGATGTTGTGACAAATGAATGAATAATTAATTATAGTTTTTGACCAGTTATTACAACTTTACCATACACTTCGTTTTATGTTACTTCAAATGGAAGAGGCAGGGTTATATAATGCCATAGAATTCAAAATTTGGGACTTGAAAGCATTCCAAGACTTTTTTTTTTATAGAATTCTATTGTGAATCTATCAGGTTTCTCTTTGTTCTGTTTTGTGTCTCTTTTTTCTTATTCAAAATTAAACGAAGTTTACATCACTATGCCCTCAAAGTTTAGTTTCTTATAGGCTTCCTACTTTCAAGAGTATAGAATTTCAAGTCTTACATTTGGTGAGAAGAATAAGGATGTATTTGGGAATAGTGGTAGAATTATGGTGTGTTTGGGAGTGACGGTAGAAAGAGTCATTTTGAAAAAGGAAATTTAAGAATAATTGACTTTCCAAAATCATTACGTACCCTAAGTGATAGCTTAAAAATCAATTTTAAGTGATTTTATGTTTTCCTAAAATCAATTTTGTAATTTGTCAAACGTGATCAATGGAAATGGAAGTGCTTTTGTCATTAAAGTGATTTTTTCATACCAAAATCACTCCCAAACACACCCTAGCTTAGTGATTTTGAGAAAAGAGATTCAAATATAATTTATTTTTCAAAAATCACAGTGCAACTGATATTTGAAAAATCAATTTAAAGTGATTTTAAATTTTCCTAAAATTAATTTTTATATTTGTCGAACCATGACCAATGGAAAGAGAAGTGAATTTAACGATGCCAAAGTGATTGTGACCATGTTAAAATCACTCTCAAACACACCTTAGAAATTGAAAATGATCTCAAAAGATAGAGAGTATTCTGAAAAAATAGAAGACAAGGATGGACTCATGTCTATTATAAATCCTTATTAGGTCCCTTAACAAGGATTTTTTGCTTTGATACCATATCAATATTCATGAGTTTCATTTCCAAACCAATTGACAAGGAAAGGAATAGTTCATGTCTATTATAAACCTTTGTTAGGTCATTGTTTTTTCAGCGTGAGATCCCTAACATGAGAAACACAACTATCCTAGGAAACATGAAGAAATAAATTAAATTGATAAAAGTTCACGGCATGTTTGTTATGCAATCAGATTCTGTTTTTATTTTCAGATTCACTAATTAAATGGATTTAATGAATACTTATTTTGCATATTTATTTTTTAAACTATCATGGATGTCTCATTGATAAAAAAGAACTATAGTTAATTAAGTGTAAATGGGCTCACACCTCATGGCCACTTATCTTATAAATGAATTAGTTGTTAATGCAGAAATTTGACCTCTTAAGATTCCACCAAATTCGCACCAATCTTTAAGAATAAAAGGATCGACGAGACCTGCAAAACAGAATTGCATTAAAGACCGATGTGACTCTTGCCATAAAGGCTCTGATGCTTAAGTCAGAATCAGACTAGTTGAGTATAAAGTGTAGGGTGTTGTGAGCATAGCAAAGAGTAGAGATTTGTAGTGTACCTTCATTATGAGTATTTTACCTTCTATTTATAAGATAAAATCTTTAAGCCATTAGGATTTCTTCATTCTCCTGAATCTAGGGGAAATCCTAAGATCATCAGGATATATCTTCTCCTTTTGAATTCCTTAAATAAAGGGAAATCAGATTGTAAAAAATATGGATTTTCTCATCCATAACAATAGCCCCACTCTCAAAGTTGAAGGTTGTCAAAGTTCCGCTTTGAGAGTATTTTGTCGTTCATGGGTTGACTATTTTTGTGGAATATCCCTCTTTTTGGTCGCTGTTGATTGTCGTCTTAATTGGGCTGACTTTCCTAGCCCCATTTTCTTTTGTTGTAGTTGGCCACCATCGAGTCTCTTAGTGTTGAGAGTATTTATCGTTGTCAGTTGTCGTTTTTATGGGCTGGCTTGTCATAACCCACATAACCTTTTGTCGTAGTTGACTGTAGTCAATTTATCTCTTGGGCTCTACCGTACAGTTAGTTCTAACTGTTGAGGTTTTTTCCTTGGGATCTAATTTTTAGTTGGGCTAGTTGTACCCCCTTAGGTTTCTAACCTATTTGGATTTTGCCCAGGGTTTTATACTCTAGGGTTTACTCTTGGGTTTCCAACATATTTGGCTTTTGCCAATGGTTTCATACCTTAAGTCCAGTCGATACCCTTTTGTTGTTGTCGGTTGTCGTTTTATGGACTGACTGTCATAGCCCCATTCTCTTTTGTTGTAGTTCGTTACAATCAAGTCTCTTAGACATTGTTATACGGTTAATTTTTACTGTTAGATTTTGGTTTTGAGATTTAACTTCTCAGCAGGGCCAGTGGTACTTCTTTGGGTTTCTAACCTATTTGGCTTCTGCCATGGTTCTATTGTTGGGTTTTACGCCATAAACTCGTGGTTTGTAAATATAAAACAAATATTCATTCAATAAAATTGTTATTGATAGAATTGCATTAATCCAAATCCAATAAACTAACATTCGAGGTTATGTCATGTAACTAGAACAGTATATAACAGATATACAGTATATATTTAATATACAGCGTATATATCTGACATACAGTGTATATATATACAGTAATATTCGATATACAGGTGGATAATGTTCCAATAGTAACCTAAAGGGTCTATATTATATGGATAAGGTTGGGTACCTTATCCTGGCAACACTATGGATACGACCTACTTTGTTATAGTTACAAATGACTTGATTCAGGTCGCTCGTGTGGAGACATGCGAGTGGGGGTATCCTATACAATGAGTTTGTATAAGACCGGATCGTGGAATAATTAATCTTTAGCTATAACACCGTTAGCTAATAGATTAATATTTCAATAGGATGACCAAGTAACTCAATCTCAATTCTCAGAGTTATGGACTCCTGCCTATTAGGGCTCGTCTTTTGATTTGTATGGGTGAGAGTGGCCCGAGTCGCTGACTCAATATGCCTACTATTTTGGGGACGAGACCAAGTGGGGAGCTGAGAATATAACTACACAAGATGGAATTCACTCTTTTCCGACTTTAGGGTAAATAGATGAGTGTTCTTTTAAGTGCTGACTCCGGGACTTGAACATGGGGCCCACCCTCTCATTGGCCCGAGAGGACTTCCGATTATTGGTTGGACCATAACCGGGTTGTTTATTAGAGGATCAACGGTACTTAAGTTATAAGATGTAACACAGGGGTAAAACGGTAATTTGACAAAGCTGTGGTTATGAACACTAGTGAATGATTGATTTACCGTTAATGGTCAAAACCCATGGACGTAAAATATTCTACATTGAGAAGAGTGCAACTGTGGGTCTTTAGTGAAATGACCGACAGTTAACGAATGTTGATTAATATGGTTAATGAGTTTAATCAATTAATCTCGTATCGTTGGAGCTTCCGATCTGTAGGTCCATTAGGTCCCCTTGCTAACTCGAAAAGGATAGTTAAGAACATATAATCTTGAAAAGAATTTGAATTGTTCAAATTAGTTAAAGGGAATTAAGATTAATTGTATGAGATGCTATTAATTTATGTTGATACATTATAATATAAAGTGAAGTTAATTTTGAATTGGATTCAAAATTATTACAAGAGAGATGAATATTAAAATTTGATTCTAATATAGTTGTTTAATTTAATTAAATATGATTTAATTAAATTAATGTGACATATTAATTTAGTTAAATTAAATTAGAAACGTTGACGAGGAGGTTCTAAATGTCTTCCTTTCTCGAACTTTCTTCATATATAAATAGAAAGAGTAGCTAATATGGAAATAGAATCCAAACTCTTTATATATCCCCAAGTAAATTATCTTTGAAAAGAGACGAAAGAAACAAGCCAAGCCATAAATATTTGAACAAATCAAACTTCTTCTAACTTTTCAAGCTCAACATTCTTGGCCATCAAAGGGAGATACTCATTCAACAAATAAACCTCGAGATGGTTCGAGAGAGCCGACTTGTTGATATTCTCCAGATGGAATTCTTTGCAAACGAAATACAACACTGTCTCCAGCACAAGCTGCCACAGGAAGAAACTCAACAGCAAGAACAAGCACACTATTCCCAAAATACCCCTGCCCACCATCCCAAGCCATACCCCATCCCCATGAACAACCAGCTTCAAAAAGGCCTGTTGAATGATCACCAAAGAGACATTGATGAGCAACAACATGACTGTGGCCACCACCATCTTCCCCTTCAGCAGCGACCTGCTCTTCGCCATTGCCTTGAACCCGCACGACTCTTCCAAAACGGAGACGACACTCGCCAGTTGCACGACGACGCTCAGGTATAATAACCCGACGAAGTAGAGGAGGAAGAAGACGACGAAGATTGAGCCATTGACGTCGCCGTAAGGCCCGTATTGTATGAGGAGAATGAAGAGAAGCAAAATGAAAGCAAAGACTGCTAGCAAATTGAAGACGAAGAATGAAGCAAAAACACAAAGGAATGTGACTATGAGGCGCTTCCAAACCTTCGGCACGACGCTGATGATCAGCTTGAAAGACACTTCTTTTCCTGCATGAGCAAAATTTTAAGCTTAGACTAAATATGAGCAAAATTTTAAGCTTAGACTAAATACATGTTTTAGTGCTAATGTTTATATAGTTCAAATTTGTTCAATATAGTTTAAAATAATGTTTCAGATATAATATTCTATTGGTTATAATGGTTTATTATTGTATTTGTTGTATATTCTTTTTGTGATTTTGTTTCCTAATTGGGTATTAGACCATTTTTGTATAGATTAATTTTTCAATCAATGAGAAAGGATATGGAAAACCTTCCAAATTTTTACATGGTATCAGCTCAAAACGTTCAAACGAATATCCGGTCCAAAAATGGGATCCGGCCAAAATCGATGAGTCAAAAGAACCACGATCTCAAACGACATGTTAAGGATCCCAGATTGGAAAGAAAATGGATCTTACAATGGTTTATAATAAATATTGACTACTCTTCTCATTGTCAATTGATTTTGAGATGAAATCTCATGAATATTGACCGTTTCAAATTAATTTCTTACCTTTTTAACACATAGCCAGTATATATAGCAGAAGTAAGTACATCTCTAAGTTTTTGTCAATTCACTCAATATTATGTTATGTATGTTTATCAACAAGAAAAATATAATTGAAAAATGTTAAAAGGTAAGAGATAAAATTTAAAATTAAAACTACACTGTGTACTTAGCCCGATATTCATATATAATTTTGAAAATTTATTGAGACATACCTATGTGTATGCAAGCAACTGTGTAGACGGCGGCGGAGGTGGCAAGGAGGGAGAAAACAAAGAGGAAGACGATGTAAGAGATGTTGAAGAGCCAAAAGCAGGTCCATTTAGGGGTAATGAGCCCCGACATGTCGTTGTATTTGTGAACGTCTTGATCATTGTCGTGTTTGTGTAGGAACGAGAGCTGGTGGAAGAAGTTGCCAAAGAGAAGATTTGAAATCTCCATGTGAGCCAAGAAGATGAAGGTCAAAGGGAGGATCAAGGCGAGCGCGATTTGGGCGAAGATTTTTCTCCATGTGCGGATGATCTCGTAGGTTTCTTGAAAGATTTCGAAGAGTTCGAGGATCGACGACATGTTTTTTGTCAAAGAAGATGGAAGAAGGAGAAGATGAAGGTTGTTTTGTAATGGAAGATGGGGGAATGAAACAACAGCTAATAAGGCAATTGTTTGAAGTGGAAGAAACAAGAGAGTAAAGAAGTTGTCAAAATGGACAAGTGTTGAATTGGTAAGAAGAACAAAGGGGAGTCCATGTTTGAAGTGTAAAATAAACAAAAAGTGATGATCTTTTCAATATTGAGAAATTGTCAACACAAAAGGGCCGTTGAATACACGGAAGGGTTAATTAAATTTATAAGGGGTGACTTCTTCTTTAATGTAAATTAAGTTTAAATATCATTTTGGTCATCAACTTTCCACCTTAGTTCATTTTAGTTAATACACTTTCCACTATCTCAACTTTTGTTTATTTTAATTTATGTTCTTTTCAAACGTCTAGTTTATTGTCCTTATTTGTCAAAGTTTAACACAAATTGTATATATAATTAAAACTCTTTATTATAAATTTATAGTATATTTCAAGAAATTTAGCTGAAGTGTCATCTTAAAATTGTGATTCAAAGAAATGAGATAAAAAAAAAGGATGTTTTGAAAGTAGAGTAAACCAAAATGAACTAAACTGAAAATGTAGTAACTAGTATTCAAATATAGTTCAAATTAATTTTTAATGTGATATTCAAACAATTAAAATTTAATTCAAAAGATTGTCTAAACAATTGTAGCCAAGGAGCCTAACAATAGGGTCTTTTTTTTTTTTTGTTAACAAATTAAACTATTTAGACGATCCATTATTGACGAATTTATGGTTTAAATCTCTTAAAATGGGAAAAAAAAAGAAGACAAAAACCTATAAGGGAAACACCTCAAGCCTTAGCTTAATAAATTTAGGAGTTTAAGTTGAGGTTTAAAAAACCTAATTTTAAGGAAAACGCATTTAGGATGCAAGTTTAGGAAACTATGAGTGTTAAAAAAGGAAAAAAAAATTGTTGGGAAAAAATAGATAAATCGAATATTGTTCTTCAAACAAGAACTATTTGATTTTCCCTTTCCATAGGCTAACAGCAGATAAGTAAGTAACAATAACAAATGAGTAAGAGATAGGGATAGAAAAGCTTAACACCATAAGGACTATACTGGTTCGCCCCTATCTTGGGACTACGTCCAGTCTTCTGCAAAAAGCATAGTTGAGGATATTACAATGGAGATCTCACTCAAGATATTACTATCTTGCTTCTAAGTACCCTAACAATGGCTACCTAGGATTACACAATTGGAAATACTCTCACTAAACCCACGAGATACAAACTCTTTTTTCATACACTTCCCACAACTACTCAAGTCTATCTTATTTGGACTTTGTACAAATGAAACCTTAACAAAATGGTTCTATTTATAAGAGGTCAAATATCTCAATCCTTATAGGAAAATAATATTGTAATCCTTATAAGACAATAATATCATACTCCTTGTAGGAATTAGTAGTAGTGTTTGAAAATCCTTTTCCTCATAGGACACGGGTCATCTGTTTTGGCTCCATTATCCCAACAATCTCCCAACAAAACATCGATCTTGCCGCCTACTGCAACAGCAGTCTCTGATAATCTTGGAAAACTCCAAAGCTTCTTCTGCAAAAACTTCTGATCTTCTTGAAAAAATCTTCAAGGCTTCTCCTGCAAGTTTAAAAACTTGTAAAAAAAAATGTCAGAAATCATCAATCTCATCTGTCTTTGCCCTGAGGTTGGGCAATCTACGTGGTCTTGTCTCCCAGACGCAAGAGACACAGCCATGTGCTCCCACTCAAACTAAGTGGCGATATCTGAAGCTTCCTTCTTTGTTCTCAAACACTGATTCTTGAAGAAAGAACTTCTCACTGATGACTTGACAACTGTATTCAAGCCTGCTGCCAGAATTGAAGCTCTAGTCTTTACCTCAACAACTACTGAGTTCATCTTCTCTGATGCAACTGTTCGCTGACGCGACTTCATCAATTCACCCATTCGTCTGATAACTGGAGATAATCCCAGACAACCTAAAGAACATGTTCTCATTCTTTGACTTACCAATTGACATTGTTCCTGAATTGATGGCAGATCCTCATGATCTGTTCTAGTTGTCTTTGTTGTTGGCTCAGTCCTACCTCTTTGGACACCATCTGTAACTTGCATCCACTGTTTCAATGATCCTCTGGCAACACTCAATTGCAACGTGTAAACTGTAGATCTTCTATGGTCAATTGCCACCAACTTGGATCCTTTGGTGAGCTTCCACTGGTTCCCACCAAACTCACTCTAATAACCATCATCGTCCAACTTACCTGTAGAGATAAGGTTCATTATGATACTGGGTACATACCTGACATCTTGCAGTAATAACTCAGTCCCACTATCGGTCTTCAATCATATATTTCAAATCCCTTTAGTCTTGAAAAGTCTTCCATTCCCCATCTTCACGTGGCCGTGATTGCCTCTTCTGAAAGATGTGAATAATCTTCTATTTAGAGATATGTGTACTGGAACTGCGCTGTCTATTACTCGCTCTGATGACTGGTTTTCTGTTTCTGTGTTGCTTTCAACAGAGACGAGGGCATCGTCTACAACTGCATTTGACTCTGCCATATACCTTTTCAGATCCTCTTTCAATATTCTACAGTCTTTCTTGATGTGGCATTTTTTGTGGCAATGAAAACATTCAGCATCTCTCTTCCAATCCCTCCTACTATGCTTCTGCTGCCTGTCATCAGACACAACCTTCTCTTTACCTTTTTCGACAGTCAATACTCAGTCTTGTTCGAAAGTAGATTCTTTCCAAAAATTTCGAAGATATGTCTCCTAATGAATCGGACACTGCTGTCTTCATCGTTTCCCAACTTTCAGGTAAAGATGTTAGCAACTGAATAACATTCACTTCGTCACTAAAAGTAATCTTAACTGATGTCAATTGATTGATTAATTTTGTGACCTCATTTATCTGAGAATTGACAATAGTATTTTCTTCCATTTGAATGTTAAAAGAACACTCTTAAGAGATATACCTTATTATTAGCTGAGGGTTTCTCGTACCTATTCTTGCTTTCATAAGATCTACTGCTGTCGTTTCGTTTGCTACGTGACTTGCCACATTCATCGATAAACACAATCTGATAAAGGCAACTGGCTGTTAATTCGTCTCTACCAATCTTCATCTTTCATCCCTACTGGTCGTTCCTTTAAAGCTTTATTCAACTTCTTGCAGGTCAAGTAATCCTTAATCTGCATCTTCCAATATTCGAAATTGGCCCCATCGAACTTCATGATTCCTTCAAAACCTGACTTCTCTGCTAATCTCATGATCTCTATACCAAACGCTATGATACCAATTGTTGGGGAAAAAATAGATAAATCAATCGTCTTGTAAGTTCTTCAAACATGAACTATTTGATTTTCCCCTTCCACAGGCTAACAACACATAAGTAAGTAACAATAACAAATGAATAAGAGATAGGGATAGAAAAGCTTAACACCACAGGGATTATACTGTTCGCTCCTATCTTTAGACTACGTCCGGTCTTCTGCAAAAAAGCAGGTTCAACTATAGTTGGGAGATCTCACTCAAAATACTACTATCTTGCTTCTAAGTACCCTAACAATGGCTACCTAGGATTACACAATTGAAAATACCCTCACTAAATCCACGAGATACAAACTCTTTTTTCATACACTACCCACAACCACTCAAGTCTCTCTTATTTAGACTCTGTACAAATGAAATCTTAACAAAAAGAGTTCTATTTATAAGAGGTCAAATATCTCAATCCTTATAGGAAAACAATATTATAATCCTTATAAGACAATAATATCCTACTCCTTGTAGGAATTGGTAGTAGTGTTGAAAATCTTTTTCCTCGTAGGACACGGGTCTGTTTTGGCTCCATTATCCCAACAAAAACTATATTTTTCTTACAATAAATTGAGAATAAGTTTGGCACTCCCTCCCAAGAAGTTTGAGGAGAAAGGTTGGGATTATCATAGTCTAATTCATATTTACCTCACAATTTTACCACTCAATACTTTGGATTTGTAAGATCTTGTTGTTTGTTGTTTCTAATTTTATTAACAAACGCAAGTATTTGAAAATTATTTATATGTGTTGTTTCTAATCTTTTTAGAAACATTTTCAAAATTATATTGAAATTTTGGAAACAACCAAAAAACAAGTTTCTTGTTTGTTGTTTATAATTTATTCCACTACACAATTCTAGCTTTCAGCGACGAAAATAAGTGACGAAAACTGTTTCGATGCATGAAAGGCGACGTAAACGGATTTCGTCACATATGTAGCAACGAAAATATATATCGTCGCTTTTAAAAGCGACGAAAATGGCTTTTTCTCATTTAAAAACGACGAAAACGCGTTTCGTCGCTCTTAAACGATGCCGTTTCTAGCGCTTAACTTAAAACGCGCTGACAAAACGACGTCGTGGTGCTTAGCCCCTTGTCTTAAATCACGCCGCCCCAATTTTTCGTCTCCCTCCCTTTCGTCTCCCCTTTTTTCCCGTTTTCTCCTCCCTCTACCGCTGCCGCGAGTCCCACTTGAGAAGAGAAGCTTGATTGATGTAACGCTTTGCCTGTGATAATTTGTGATTTGAGATTACTAGGGTTTCGTTGTTTTCTTTCTTTTCTAATTTGATCTTCAGTTTGATTTGTTGCAGAAGTCTACCTCACTAGGATTTGGGCGAGTATAGTGGGATTCTACTGGAATTTGCAGCTTCCAATATTTAAGGTAACACTTTTTTTTTCATAATTTTCCTCCGAGATGTGGGAAACCCAGATCAAACTTTTCATGATCGGATTAGGGTATTTTTTTCCTTCTGTTTTTTGTTGTTGTTCTTCTTCAAACTTTGTATCAGAACTGAAGAATATGAACATATTTACAGTGAATTTTTGAAATGTTGTTTTGTTTTGTGAAATTTTGTTGGGTGTTAAAATTGGAACCCGTTAACTTGAAATCTTCAACAATCTGAGCACTGACAGTGTCATAAATCTAGGAAATTTAATTTTTTCCGTGGAAATTGGTATTTGGCATTGTGGAATCTAGATCTACCTTCCAGTAAACAAACTATATTCTTTCAGTGTAACTCCAAAATTCATAACCTTTTTTAATAAGAAAATTTGGTTTTATGGTGTCAATTTTGATCGTAAACTTTTAATTTCACTCAATTATACTGAGCGGTGTTATAATTTTTACCTTTTATTTAAATGTTTGTTGAAAGAATTGTTTAAAAACAAAAAAAAAAAAAGAAAATCGGTTCAGATTAGACGGATTCAATAAACAAAGGTCTTGATTAGGTTGACACTAAGATATATATATTTTTTAATTCAGATTAGGGGATTTTGAAACATTTATTCAATGGTCAATTTCACCGGTTGATTTATTTGAAGTTTGCTTTTCATTTATATTAGTGGCTTTTTTTTACATATTTTTTTTTGTTGGAATGAGTAGATGATGGCAATACAAACATAAAAAAATTTGCAACAATTGTATAAAGTTGGGTCATGCTTTGCTTTCTATCTATTCTTTTCTCCCCCTTTCATTGTCTCATAAAAATATACTTTACATATATTTTTTTTTTTGGAAAAATCAAGCTCGAATGGACGGACCAACAAAGTAGACCAGTTGGACCTGGGTCAGCTTCGTTTAACAGCGAGGTAGGCTATTTGGCACGCAACTATATTGATGTGAAGCGTGCAAAGAAAAAAGAGATAACGGTCCTAAAGACTAATGAAATCATTCAGATGTTACTGGTAACCATTTTTTCTTATGTTGTATTTATTGACCACTAATAATTGAATATGTTGTTAACTGGTTTTAATGACTACATTTTGTAGGAGAAGTTTGTTGTCGTTATATCTCAGCCACATGTGCATAGATATATTTTATACGAGATTGGAACTCGATTCAAAGACTATCGAGCGAAACTACATCGTCATTACAAAAAGTCACGTGATCAAGCACATGCTCGTCAAAAGCCGTATAAAGACATAAAACAAGAAGACTGGAACATATTATGTGATAGATTAGAATTTCCTGCATGGAAGGTAACTACTATATGATCTTAATTCTTTGTTATCATTTTATAAGTATCGTTTCTTAACTAAATATGTAATTTTGTAGGAAAAATCTGCCAAAAATAAGATGGCAAGTAGTAAATTGAGGTTCAATCATCGAGGTGAACCAAAACCATTTCAGTGTCATCGAGAAGATTCGGTATGAATCAAATAATTTATTTGAATTGTATGCTACTTTAGATTTTAGGTTCTTACTATTTTTACTACAACTTAACAATCTTTTTGAATAGAGAAAAGAAGATGGGACATATTTAAGTCTCATTCATATATTCTTCAATATGCATTATTCGGAGGAAAAATGTTGGATTAACGAGTAAGCGAGGAATTCATATGTAAGTATTTGTTTAATTTTGACAGACTTAAAGTATTGATGTAAGATAGATATATCTTAAAGCTCTTAACGACACATTTATTTTTTGTAGGAAGAAATGATTACCTTAAAGGCGAATCATGCTTCTCAAGGAGACGAAAAAACAGAAGAAGAAATAATGGAGACGGTCCTTGGGAGAAGATCGAACTATATAATAGGAATGGGATATGGACCGAAACCCAGGATCATCATCAAAATACTCTGATGAATATGTTGAGTCATTAGAGGCTCGTATTCAGAAGCATGAGGAAGAATTGACATCTCAATTAAAGGAGAACGAAGACCAACAAATGGCCACCCAATAACAAATACAAAAAGTATTGGAGGCCCAAAGCCAGGAGTTTAACAGGAAACTTCTCGAAATGCACCAAATGTTTCTTTCGAGGGGAGGAAGTTCATTGAATAGTAAGGTATGTCGTGAAATTAGTTTCTTGATGTTTATGGTTATGTGCTCAAGTGTTAAAACTTTACGAATGTTTTGAGAGTATATCTTCTAGATTATGTTTGTCTGGAGTATGATATGATTTACGTATATATTGAGTATGTCTGATTTTCTTTGGAATATATTTTACCTTCGGAGTATGTGAGTTTATCTGGAGCTCTGTTTTGAAACGTTTGGTTGGAGAGTAAATGAGTTTATTTAATAAGTGTTGTAATTTAAATGGTTGATCTCGTGTAATTTTTAGGAGAAGAAGATATGTGTATGTATTGAGTATATCTGACTTTCTTTGGAATATATTTTACCTTTGGAATATGTCTGAGTTTATCTGGAGCTCTGTTTTGGAACGTTTGGTTGGAGTGAAAACAAGTAGTGGGTGTTATGCGTTTATGTGTTTGGTATTGTGACATTGGATGAATTTGTGACATTGGGTTATAAGTTTATGTGTTTGGTATTGTAACAAAAAGGGACAGGTTTGTGACATTGGATGGATTTGGTATTTATTATGCATTTGGTTGTTGTGTTACTATCATGTTAGTTAGTTTTACTATCATGTTAGTTAGTTTAGTTTATTGGTTTGATTTTATTTATTCGTGTCTACTTCTATACTTATACTACAAAACTAATTGATACAATTCTTTCTGCAGGATTGATGTTGGACGTTGGAGAGGATTATTTGTGTGAATTTAGTTAGATGCTTGACGTTATTTTTCTTTTGTACTCTAATTTTATAATGAGTTTTATTTTTACACACTTGCAATGTTATGAATGATACAATTGTTCAGTGATATTTGCTATATTTGTTAAATTTAGCAAAAAATTTTAAGGTCAAATTTTATTATTATGGAAAAAGTATATTCAGCAAATTTCGTATGAGAATTCAGAACATTAAAATGTTTGTATGAAAATCGTGGAAATTTAGGATTGAAATTAGGAAACAAAGAAACAATGAAATAATATTATT